AGAGTTGAGGTTCGGGTGACGTGCGGCGTCCCGCAAGGGTCGGTCGTCGGCCCCCTGCTCTGGAACATAGCGTATGACCAAGTACTTCGCCTGCAGCTCCCAGCGGGTGCGAAGATCCTAGGCTTTGCTGACGACACAATGATCCTGGTGTCTGGTGCAACGATCTCTGAACTAGAACAAAAGGCAAACGAAACCCTAGGCGTTGTATCGGAAGAGATCAGGAAGATTGGCCTCTCCTTAGCGGTGAATAAAACAGAGGCGGTGTTGTTCACCAATAAGTACAAGTTCAAAACTCCTGCAGTCATGCTGGATGGTCACCCGCTGGAACTCAAAAAACATATGAAGTACCTCGGGATGGTGGTGGATCACAGATTGTTGTTTAAGGAGCACACCGCTGAGGCGGCAGCGAAAGCCGGAAGAACGGCGAACCAGCTTGCACGGCTTATGCCAAACGTCGGAGGACCGAAGCAGCTACGTAGGAGGCTATATGTCGCAGTCATGCAGTCCGTTCTACTATATGGTGCACCCTCGTGGTCTCATACACTGGATTATACTCCGGTCAATGTAGCCCAGCTGAATAGAGTGCAGAGAACATCGCTCCTTAGGAGTATATGTGCGTATAGGACAGTGTCTGAAACGGCGGCAAACTTCCTGGCCGCGGTGCCCCCGGCAGACATTCTTGCCAGAGAGCGCAGCTTGGTATTCTGTGAGAAGAGGGCTGGTGAAACGTCAGGGTTTCATCCGAGGGCAAGGACGCTTGCAGCGTGGCGCGCCCGAATAGCTGAGGCATCAACCGGCGGGTGGACCAAAAGACTTGTTCAAAACATTGAGGCGTGGTGTAATAGGAAGCACGGGGAACTGGACTTCCATCTCACCCAAATCCTATCTGGTCACGGATGCTTTGGCGTATACCTTCATAAGATCGGAAAGGAAGAATCTGGCAAGTGTCACCATTGTCAAGCGATAGCGGACAGTGCCGAACACACATTAATGGAGTGCCAGGCCTGGGAGGAGGACAGGGGACGGTTGCGGTACGCAATTGGTGAGGACATTGCAATGGAGAACCTAGTCCCGGCAATGCTGCGATCTCCCGACGTGTGGCAGGCCGTGAGGGACTTCGCAAGGGCAGTTATGGTGGCCAAGGAGGAGGCAGAAAGAAGAAGAGAAAGGGCAGGGCGCAACGCAGAAGAATAAAATATTCTAGTTATTTAAGTCGTTTCTGCTGTGGGCCGTAGGCCAATTTATGCGGGGTTAGAAGCCCTGATATTTGTAAAGTTTTTTGTATATGCAATATGTTTTGTATAAATTATTATTGTTGTTGACTAATAAACGATGCGACTGGGGGAGAAGTAATGTCATACACAATACCTCCCCCAGCTGCGATTCTTTCACTAAAAAAAAAAAAAAAAAAGGTTAACCTAACCTAACCTAATTTTCGATAACTACAATTCATTAAATATGGTATACTGCGATAACGATTACAACGACTACATGGAAGATGGTGCGGAAAAAAGTGGTATCGACATTGACGCCACACACATATTAGTAATCATTCACAACTATAGTACGGCCAGCGAAACTAGAAGCTTGACGGTTACGCGCCCTAGTGACCGTTTTCGTGTAAACCAGGGGTTCTAAATATTTTGGTTGTTTGTACAGCTGCGTTGTTTTTCGAAATGAATATAGTGAATATGTTATATAGTAGTCCGGCTCACGAAAAGTGGTTCTCATTCTATTGTAAATAATCAGTAAAATGCGTTGCTACGTTGTGTTTAAGAATATATGATAAGCACGCGTATCTTACGAGTAGCTGTGAAACAGGTCTATACAACAAGGGTAAATGTGTTTGAAATTGTTTTACGCGGGAAATCATTCTTCGTAGCCCTAATGAAAAACGGCCACTAGGGCGCGTGACCGTCAAGCTTCTAGTTTCGCTGGCCGCACTATAACACATAAACCTCGTGTGGAGACGATGTGATTAGAAATTGTCTAAAGGTACGGTTTCCAAGGCGCGACTGAACTAGAGCCGTCGCAGCCGGCGGCTCTACCACGACAAGAGCAGTGTATCGCGACAGCCACCGGCGATTCCAGTCGAAAATAGTGTTAAAACTTTTGCAGTCGCTGATAGTAATATATACTATGTATTATATACTACCATAATTTAACAAATATTCTAGTATTGAATTATAATAATTATTATAGTATTGAATAATAATTATAATATCGAACATATAATAATATTTTAGTATTATAATATAATAATGTCAAAAATTGTGTTTTTGCCGGAACATGAGGAAATACTTTTAGAGGAAGTCCGGAAAAATCCTGTTTTATACGACAGTGCTGATTTAAAGCACAAAGACCTTAGTTGGTTTCCTTTTATTTGGATTTAAATAATTACGTAAAAATAAATTATCTTCTTCCTCCTCTTATTCAAGCAAATCAATTGATCATTTTGTTATTATTAAAAACGCACATTAAATCAGACATGGTTTAACACTTATATACGTATATAAATATACGTCTTAACACAACAAAATGCGAAGAACGACTAAACAAATAATGATATTATGTTTAGAGCCGCGGCGATTTGTATGTCTAGGAAACCAGTCAGACTTCGGCGGCTGATCGCGACGGCTAGTCGTCGCGCCTTGGAAACCGTACCTTAACTGTTGCTCCTTAAATAAATGCTAGAGGCCCCTTAATGATAAGAAACTAACTATTAAATATAAAAATTTATGTGGTTTTTATTGATTAATGTTCAGAATACAATGAAGAGAAGGTTTTAAAAATAAATTAAATAATTTTAAATTGATCATTGGCTATTGTTTTCTAGATGGGACGACCACACAGAGAGAAGAAATTACTAACATCCCTCCATCTAACATGTATTACAATAAAAGCAATAATCCATACGAGGGACTAATATTTTCAATTAAATTATTGTTTACTAATAGAAACAAATATATTTAATGTTAAACTTCTTCATGATGACATATACACAAAATACATTTTTCAACAGTTAAAAATTCAGAAGACATGCATCAGATAATTAATTTAATATTCTTCTATTTTAGAAGAATTTCTTAAACAACAATAATGAAAGTTTACTAGATATACTAATACAAATTTCATTAATTTGTTGTTCAACTATAGTTGGGGTATACCAATTTTTTATTTAGTTAATAAATTTAAATGAAAAATAACAAGTGGGTTTAGAGTTATCTTATAAAATTAAATTCTAATATAAATTTTATCACAATTCATACAGGCAATACCTAGAAAAAAAATACATATATAATTTATTCTAAACTTCATATTTTATAGCATATGTAACATATTACAACAATATGTTAATAACATTCATAACAATTTTTAAATTAAGTGTAAAAAATAATACATATATTTCAAAACAAATATAACATAGTTACATTCTTTACAAGCACAATATTTTAATAATGCGAATATAAAGATAGCATTTTGTGATTATCACACGGTTGACAGGTTTGTGGTTCAACATATATATATATATATTTATATCACAGCGTTAAACGAAAAATTAATCTAAAAAATATATAAATAAAATAAAACATAAAATAATATATATATATATATAATATTAACTAATCACATATAATATTAGATCTAAAAATTCTATATAATGTAACATGAATATTTTACATACATACAAAAATGAATTTAACTACAATGATCCAATAATTTGGGCAATCTTGTTTATTATATTACATAAGAGATCGATTAAAAAAAAATTGATTTGGTCGAAACTCATAAAATACATTGAAAAAGTAATTAAAGTACAAAATATTGTAAATGTTAAGTATCATAATAATTTCTCAAATTACTTCTAACATTGGCAGCAACATGGAATGAAAACTAAGTTCTTCAAAAAAAAAAAAAAATCCTTAAGCCTATATAAACATTAATTCACTGCGTTCAATTTGTAATTTATAAATAAAATGATCAAATACTTCCACATAAATTCGAAAAAACGTAATTTTGAAATGTTATACTGTAATTTAAACATTATACAAAGTAAATTAAATTTCGACCATAAAAAAATAAATGAAAAATAGTTTATAAAAAAAAAAAATTTTGCTTTTATTCAAATATCAAATATACTTAGAATACTTTAATATCTACTGTGAAATAAAAAAAATTGAAATATTTTGGTTTAATTACATTTAAATTTGTATTGTCTTCATCATTAGTTAATCTTCATATTATAAAATACCTAAATTTGAATAACATAATTGTATAATACCAAATTATTAATGGTCTTAAAGCCACATTTATTTGTTTTAAATAAAGCTAAGTTTAGTGATTTTTAAAAGTGATCTTTCATTAAGTTAATAATATATTATAAATTAATTAAATATATAAAATACTTTAATAAGTTTTTACAAGCATTTTAAATTATTGTTCAATAATTAAATTTGGTTTAAAATTTTTAATATAATTTATTAAATAGATATATTTTTTAATATAAAAACATTAGACGATTAAATCGAAATTATAATAGAGTTTGCTCATAAAACGTGATTAATATATATTTTTAATTTCTTTAGGATAGTCTCAATTGGTTAAATAAAATATGTTTAGTAATAATTCTTAATATATAGGTGATACAAAATATGTCAATTGAAAATAGGAAATTAAAGACAAAATTTATTTATTTATTAGTGTATATATTAATTAAGATATATTACAAATCTTTTTTCTGAGTAAAACCGATTGGATATCAGACTGAATGTATTGTATATTATATTGATATTTATATAGTCTATGAATTGTATATTATTTTTATAGTTATATAATTTATACATAATTTAAAACAAAGTAAAAAAGAATTGATAAAATTTTAGCAATATATTTTTTGAATTATATTTTAAGGTAAAAGTTGTCAAGGTTAAAAAATATGAATACAATTAATGCATCAAATTGTAAACGAACTAGATGACTAGGAAGCATATTGTTCATAAACAACTATTGCAATATTAGTTATTCAATCTATTACATTTCATTTAAAAACAAAATTAAAATTTGTTTCACAATGTATTAATATGTACTATGGTCAATTTGGATCATCCAATATGTCATCATCAGGATCATCTAATTTTGATCCACTAGTACATACTCGACACTTACAACAAACTATACATGGAGCAGCTAGTAATAATAATGGACTAGCTACAAGTAGTAGTATACCAAAACCTGCAAATATACCAATAACTTGAGTACGATGCCATATAACAGAGGCTCTCGAATGACCCAATTTGTTTTTACATGGACCTTTGTCATAATGTCTTAAAAGAAAATCATCCTAAAATAAAAAAAGTATAAATTAATATAATTGTAGACATATTAAAAGAAAATGAATGGTTGTATTTAATAAACTTACATCTAAAGAAGCAAGACAATACCAACAAAACACATGTTTACATCTTTTACATAACATTTGAGCACAGCCTTCATCCTTCTCAATAGGTACACTGCACATAGGGCAACATTTAATTAAATCTGAATCAAAAGTAGGCATGTCTTGTGTAGTTGGAGGAGGACATGGTTTTCCTGGATGCCACGTTGCTCGACATCCAGAGCAAAATTCAGTTTGACAGGTAGGACATATTACACTGTGAGGTCGAGAACGATCTCCAACATGACAAACTGTTTCACATCCAGGTTTTGGACACCACATACGACTTTTATCTAATTCTACTTCTGTGAATAAATTAAAAAATAAACTATTTTAAAGGGAAAAAAATTTAAACACTTTATATTTTTTGTAATAGTAAAGTATTATTACTTATTTCTGAAAATGCATAATATATGATACTTATATTCTCTAAAAGAACCTTTAATTATTTTCCTTTTATTTGATTAAACATTAGAAAAATATTAAAAGAATAAAAATGAGACATTATAATTTAATAATTTAATTAATAATCTAGTTAGATTCATAGTTAATAGAAACAAGCTTAGTAAGAAATATTATATTTGCAAAATATTTTTATTAAGAAAACTTAATCCTAGAATAAAAATATAAAAAAATAGCTAACATTGCTAAACTGAAAATGGATTCTAGTGTAAAAAGATGGTAAATATTAAATTATGTTTCAAATTTATATCATATCTAGACTTAAATAGTTTTAATTTAATTATTTGGTATATTAATGAAAATGTGATTAATTATAATCAAGGTTATTCAAGATTATCAAGGTTATATCAAGGCCTTCCTCTTCAAACTAACTCAACAAAATTAAGTTTAATTTCTTTAGCTCATTGCAAGTATGTAGCTTTATATAAATGTATGTATCTTTTTTCTGAATATACTCAAAATTAATTATCCTACTTTATTATTCCAACTTAGTTTCAAATTTCCTTTTCACTTCAAGTGTCAATTGAGGTAAAAAATTAATACTAGCCAAAATTATTACCAAAATAACCATATTTTTTAATCAAATATTACAAGAAAAAATGAAAGAAGCTAATCAAAAATATATATAAACTGAAAACTATTTTTACAACAAAATTAATATTGATGCTAATTACAGAACCGATAATCAAATATTTTACACTTTATAATATCAATAATTATGTTCATCAAATAATGGAAAATATAAAAGAACTCAATATCGACATTTTTTAAATATTTATTCAAATTCTTGTAATATACTAATATATACCTCTTAAATGAATACACTTTATCATTTAGTTATCAAGGAAATATGATAAGTGTAAAAATTAGTCGCATTTGACTGTGATATGTGATATAAAATATCTAATATATAAATATGTGGGATAAATATCTAAAATATTGCTGTTCTGTTACGTTCAAATTAATTAAATTTTTATGTAATTGGACTATTATTAAACATAATATAAAGCAGTGGTTTTAAAGAGTTAGAGAGAATATCTAGCAACCTAGCAAACATTAAGAATGTATAATAATGTTCAAAATAAAATTATATAAGGAATTCTAACTATTTCTCTATGATCTTTTTTTTTTAAGTTTATATCATAAATATGTGACGGTATAAACTTAAATTGTTGATATTAAAAAGAACAAAGTTTTATAAATATTATTAATTCTTACATTTTATAAATCTATAATATTTAACTTACCCTTATTAAGTCTATATCTATGATGTTTTTCAATTTCATCTATGCTGACTAATGCTTCTATTTCTTCCAATTGGATAATGCCTTGCTTAGGACACTGAGCATCAGGACAAGATATATTGTATGCCCCTTGGTTGATTTCAAATTCCACATATGCTCTTACACACTGTAAATAAATAATTTAATTTTAACTTTTGTTTTTATAGAAGTAAGATATAATCATTTATAATTACATAATAAAGTGTATACATAATATGTAATAATAATTGCAAATTATTTAATTTATACTTAAGATTAAATCATATTGAAACTTATATTTTTTTTAGTAAAAATATGTAAATTACGGCAAGAATTAACAAATTCAATTACATTTCCTTTTTATAGAAAAAACAACAATTCATTCAACACAAGCAATAAAAAATATAATAATTAGTCATATATTCACATTATGTTTGATTATTTAAAAGTTCTAGCCTTCTCGAGTATAATCATTTGATTATATATCTTACCATAATATAAATTTAATAATAAATCAGTAATTTTGGCGAATTTTTACTAATCTTAAAATTTTAACAAAATTATCAATATTTTTTATTAAGACAAATACCAGTTGTTTCAATTAGAAAAGTATGAATATTATAAAATTAGTATGATATAAGCATTTACAGAAATTGATTATGTTTATAAATATGAAATAATTTTTTTTTAGCGTACATATTTAAAAATTTATAATTAGTTTAATTCACAAAATATTTTCAGATACAATGTTACAAAATTGCTTTTTAAGTTTATACATATTTTACAATTCTATATAATAATATATTCAATCCAAGTGACAGAGTATAAAATAACTTATATCCTCAATTCGCATTATGATTAAACAGTAAATTAACAAAATAATCAAATTAAATACTTGGTAAGGTTTAATGAATACCAATATCAAATTAATAATAGTAATTTATAAAAAGAAAAAAATAATTTTATTGGTTTATTTACCATAAATATGTGTAAATAATTTACTAATTCAATAACTATAACTAATTTCAAATGATTAATCAAATTATTAAGTACCTACATAAAAATGTTAGTACTAATACATAAATATATTTTAGAGAAAATATTTTAATAAATATCTCAAATAAAGTTACTATAACATATTAGAATTTCTTATAATATTTTTAACATGAATATTAACATAGTATACATTCAACTTATATTAATATAAAAATTTTAGTTTTATATTCTGTTCTCAAAATTATAAAATAGTGATGATAAAATAATAAACTAAAAACTTAATCATATGAAATGAAACTTTTAATTAATTCAGTATTAATGAGTTATATATCATTAAATTTTAATATTAATAATACATTTAATAATTAAAATTAAATAAGTTAAATCAGAATAAAATTAGGTAAAATTACAATTTATTTATTGATTAGGTATATATATATATTATTATATGAACATAATAGTAATTTTTATTTATAATTTTAAAAACAAAACATAAATAAGTTAAAGTATGTTTATGTCTTGAGGAGTTTATAAAAAAACAAAATTATATCAAAATATATTATTACTTTATATACTACCCAGAGTTATCAATAAAATTAAACATTAGCCATTATGTTTTACTCATTGAATAATAATTTAACTAAAAAAAAAAGTATGTTATAAAATATTACCTATATGTATATACATTTTTTTTTAAGTAGTATAATATGCTGAAATAGTAATTATTTGAGATAAAAAAAACCATGTTGATTAATAAAACAAATAGTAATCATAATATGGTAATTATAAATAATTGATGACACTTTAAATTTATCTCAAAATACTAAGTTGTTATGTACAAATAAAATCAAATAATTCAAACACATAACTAAATTTTGTTAATATGCATAAATTAAAGTACTTACGCAGTAGACAAGTACCAAAAGTTCAATTAATATTCAAATTATAAATATAAAAATGAAAATAAATAAAATGTATTATTATAATTTTATTTTTATAATAATTTATGCATTAAAATAGCCAAAAGTATTATTATTAGTGATGTAACTACTGGGTTTAGCTTTAAATTTTTAATTGGATAACAAATAAGTCAAGTATGAACAATTCTAAAAAAAAAAAAACTTAAATTAAAGGTAATGGTACTGTGAATTTATTATTATAAAGTTTAATTGTAGAAACTTTGGTTTCCTTCATAAAATCTCAATTAGTAGAACAAACAATTTTTAATAAACAATAATTTAATTATCTATACTTATATCTATTCTATATTGGAATTTAAACACTAGAAAAAATTAAATGGAAATGAAATAAAAATAAATTTCAGGAAGTTTAGAAATGTTTTTAAATTATTTTTCATTAAAAAAATAATTGAAAACTTCAAAAATATCAGTTAACATAATCATAGATTATTATATAAATATAATTTAAACTATGTATTAGATATTTTTACTCAAAAACTTTAAATAAAAAAAGTAAATGACATTTGGTTAACATATCAAGACCATAATATTTTGTGTTATCATGTATACATTAGTTTCAAAAAAATATTTTGATTTTTAAGCACAAAGTTGTTACTTACTTCTATACAATAGGAGCATCCGCACTGTTGAAGTGTCCATGAATTTTTTACAGGAACTTCATTTAAACATACTTTACATAATACAATAGGTTGATCTCGATGTGTAACAAAACTTGATGTTGACCCTAATGAATATCTAGATGAAGAGGCTGCTAAAGATAAAACACTACTACATCTTGAACAAACAGCGGTATCTCTTAAACGGTTTATTGGTTTGATTCCTGCTGGTCGATTTAGTACTACATTTGATAATGTTACCATAGTGTTATACTTACGAATTGGTTCATCATCCTTTACACATTCTAAATGGGACCAACTTTCTGCTGAACCCGGTTGATTTAATGATGTAGCTGAGGATGACTTGCCCCTGGCCAAAGTGACCAGGGACCGTAAACTAGGCATCAATAAATCTATTTTACTTTTACTCCATTTTCGTAGTTTTCTTGCAGCATCCTCATCATCCAAAGATGAATCATTAGTTAAAAGCACTTCTTCTTCTCTTTCCCAGCTTCGTCTATTTTTTGAGGGTAATTCAACATTACTTTTAGATGGTTTTTCTTCCAATCCATTTTGCCCTGAAAGGACAGCAATACGGTGAGACTTCCGGCGCAGGAATGGATCGCGTTCTAATATTATCTCATGACTATCATCTTCATCATTTTGTAACGAGTGAGTATGTTCATAATTAACAGTGGCCTTCTTCATATCGCCGGTCGACGCGACCGCCAATCCGCCGACCGATCAGTTTGGGCTGATAGATAATTGTTTGTCATTTTCCGTAAACAATAAATTCAACTACATTTTGTAACACTTAGATGAAACAATTTTGAATATAGCGTAATTTGACTTTAACTTTCATCTATAAAATGTTTAAATATAATTTTAGCAATTCAGAAAGTATTTTCAACTATAGTTAAATTACAAATAAAAAGTGACAGTTGTATAACTAACTTGTATATAACTGTTTATATATTTTTCATTACCTGATAATGTAAAATTTGTGACCCTCTTTACTTTGAAAACAAGTTTACTAACGTCTTAACGTCTTTATTTGGGTTACGATTCTACTAGTAGGTCATTTTTCAATGCTTGAATATCGATAACGTGATATTGAAAAAAATACTTATACACAAGATTGTAATTAATAATACACAATAGGACTGTTGATAAATTTTAGCAAAAAGAGAACATTTTATTGTTTTTATCAGATGAATATGACCAATCAGCCGATTTGACAGATGGCCCATAGACATGCGCACCAATGTACGAAAATTAACCGGTGACAGGTTGACAAACTTCATCTAATTGTTTTATTATTATTTTTATTATAATTATCATTATTATTATTACATTATACTTATAACTAGATTGTCGAGTGCTGATAAGGGTTCTTTATACCATATACAATTCAATAATATAAATATAAAAACATAAATTTATCAACGCTAGCTTGTTTAATTTACTTACTGATCGTCCTAAATTGTATTTAAATATTAACATAGGCATCATGGTTTATTTTTATTCAAATATTTTGTTCTATACATACCTACATATATATATATATAACTACTATATAACTACGTCTACGAAAATGTAACTATGTACAGAGGCGTCATTTGGGGGGGGGGACAGGCTATGGCAAATACCCCACTCTGAGAAATTTTAAAAAGTCGGAAATTCTTTATCCGATGATCAAATGCTAAAATCAATAAATAGTAAATTTTTATTTATTATTTTGTACTGAGAAATTAGATAATATTCTCTTTTAAATACTCGTTCACGGCTTATTAAAAGTTGGGAAACATTGGCTTCTTCCCAGTTTATGACAATCGTTGTTACACGAACCTTATAAACTATATTTTTGGTATATCATATATTTATGTGATCTATACAAAACAGTTTTCGTGATATCAATACCATAAAAATTAAGCTCATAATCTATAAAAAACCGTTAAAATTGTTCCTATTTACCCCAAACTACGGTACATTACAGTGGCACAACTAGTGGTAGGGTTTGGGAGTTATGATCCCTTCCCCCCGATATTTTTTTGAGGTTTTTACTAATTCTACGTAGGAAAAAAAATGGTTTTTCTTAAAGACGCGAAATGGCTAATTGTTATAAAAAATGAATATTATTCGTATTATAATTGATACCTAACAATAATAACATGACAGTTTGGAACGTTTTGTAACGTTCCGTTCAACTCTAAAACATCAATAACCTTCCTACTACGATTTCTCGATAGTCGATTGTATAATACTTTTTTTGTGATATCACAATAAAAAATATAAATTTAATAAACAGTTTAATTTGTAATTTAAATATTTTACTCATAAACCTAAATTAATCTTACTTCATTATCCCAACCAACACCTGTGGAAAATTCTTATTTTTTCCAAATTTATCCTTAAAAATTATTAAAAATATATAGACCGTACGGTACGGTCCGTACCTACCTAATTTTTTTTAAACTCATCAAAATCTATAGAATAGTTTTTCATTAAAATGTATAAAACATTTTAAAAGTAAAGTCGAAACTATTATTTATTATTTTTAATATATTTATTTAATTTCTATTAGAATATTATATTAGTACGAATTTATTTATAACATCTAGATATAAAAATGTTACAATTTGTTTTTACAATAAATACACTTTCTTGACTTATTAAGGGAGAATTGTTTAATTATGTCTTCAAAGTCCAAGAATCTAGTACTTCACTTTCTATACTTAAAATACCAAAATTACAAAATTGATAGGTAAACAAAATTCATAATAATATATGATAAATATATCGTAATTCATGATAAAATAAGAAAGTTTTAAATGCGATTGCAGAATCTGCGTATGATGTGCCATCGGAGTGGTCGGCTCTAATAATATTATTACTGTAAAAATTAAATATTAGGAAGGGTGTTAGTTGGATTTTTGTAATTAGCTCTATATCAATATTTTATTCATTAAGTGTTGGAACCAGTGGCGTATACAGAAAATATTTTCAGAAGGGGCTACTATGGACAGAGTTAAATTACCACTGCTATCTAAGAATTACTAACAAGACACAGTAGGTACTTATCTACATTCCATTTACAGAATGTCCCAAAACGATTTGACGTTGGATGCAAATTCTAAATAAGCATAAAGCCGGGTTCACATGGAGTTGTAAACTGGGCGAGAATATTACTCGTTTTGTCTCACGACTGCTTGAATTTCACGACCGATAATTTATGACCCCCAGTTCACACATATCAATTGCAGATGATCTTGATTTTTTAGTTATTTATTTTTTTCAGTTCTTGATAATAAACTGATATAATACTTTTAATCTTTTGGGCTATTTCATGAATACCAAAACCATCGATACCCATTTCATCACACATTTTTTTTTAAGGCTCCATATATTATATCTCTGTCTTTGTACACTTCAGAATTTATTTTCCACAAACATTCGGCATCGCGATACAATTCAACAAATTTAATTGTTTTGTATTAATTTTGTACACTGACATTACGCTGACGCAGGAAATGTTATTATTATATAAAAATAAAAGGTATTCATTAATTTAATTAATAAATTGTAAGTAAATAAATTTTATTATTTCACACCTACAAAACACGCCAATCAAATACGTATACATATGCAAAAAATTTGACATTTGGTGATTCACAACTAAACCGGTTGTGTTCATGCCGGAGTAATCACGACCAATATATTTTTCGTCGTTACCGACTCCTACTACCACGACTACCAATTCTACCAGGTAGTGATCACGACCAACTCTCCTAATAGTAGTATTCTCGCCCAGTTTATGACTTCATGTGAACCCAGCTTAAAGCACAATTAAAATATAACAAACGTTTAAAATAATTTTAGTTTTTAAAACATTTCGAGAGGGGGGGGCTGTAGCCTTACCCCCCCCCCTATATACGCCACTGGTTGGAACTCATTTGTGCTGTTTCAATCCATTGGCATTCCAAAGAATTATTGTTAGATTATTAATTATGTTTTAAAAAATGTTTATTGATTACTATTGTGAGGAGGGAAATAGTGGGTTTACAAAGGACTTTAAATTATTTATAAAGGTTTATAGTTCAAATATCAGCCTAGTTGATATCGACCGGATGTCGATATAGAATAATAGATTATTTGTTTAGTGTTCAGTTCAGTTTATTATTATCCGTCATTGTTCTTGCGTCTCACAAACATTCAACGTCGAATCATATATAAAACATCGTACGAATATATTTTGTAACATTGTGTAATGCCGAACGTATAACAGCCTATTAGTAGCCGACTACAAAGTTTTGTTTCAGAGTTTAAAGATACATTTACATCCGGTGGACCAGGGGCGTATTTAGACTTACTTCTAGGGGTGTGACTCAACATTTTTTTTTCTTTCAGGCTCAAAATGTACAAGTAAAATGTTTGGTAATATTTAAATCAGGTGAATCCTTAATATTTGTAGTTTTTTTTTAATCTAATGCCGGATCCACTTAGAATCGACTTTTGTGTAGATTTTTTTTAACACCTGTCTGTGTTTTGAAAGTTACGCTTGTGTTTTATTTGATTTTTCACTAAGTATGGACCCGTCAAAAAGCCCAATTCAATATTCACAGCTAAGTGTAATTTGATTTCATTATAAAATGATCCACATTAAAAAAATTTTAAGTGTATATCTCACATATAATCGATTCATTAAATATGGATTTAGAGGGGGTGGGCAATCGCCCCCTTTGACCCCCTGAAATACGCCCCTGCGATGGACACATTTTATTTTGTGTACTATGTGGTTATTTTTTTTTTTTAATGCATATTATTATGCATATTTATGTGTTTTATAGAGCTATAAGTCCCTAAGCCTAGCAATCACTGTGTTAAATTTTGTCAAATGATTTCAATACTGTAAAAAACCATATTTAAAATGAAGGAATTATTTGGCAAACTTCAATAGAATAACGAGAAATATTAAACACTGAACTATAACAAGGTAGACCTTTATTTTGTACACTAAATTCTGCAAATGTTCAATTTACTATAAGCTGCAATAACCACATGCTACTAGGGAAATTTAATTCCTATTAAGTAATTATTTTTTTATTGTATCGGAACAATAAATCTTTAAAATATTTAACTTCTTTTCACAAAAATGGAATTGATTTATGAAACAAACAAAAAAAAAAAACAACCATTATATCCATCTGCATTTATAGTATTTTGTTTACAAAAAAATTATTTTATACAGTCAGAAGAAACTATACATATATTTATCTCACATCAATTTAAAAATATAATCTTAGTATTTATACTTTTTATAGGTTGTTCTTGTCAAAACATTATTTTCTAAGATAATATTAATCTATTATTAATTGATACTATTTATCAATGTAGTTAACATTTTACATGAAATATACAAATTAACATATTTAATTTATAAACAATCTAATATTAATTAAATTTTTATAAAAAAAATTATATGAAATGAATAATATCATTCTTAAAAATATAAAATAATTGCACAGTTGATAAATCTCATTACCTAATGTTGTATAAATTGTGATTAATCACTTCATATTTAAAACATACCATCATTTGCTCCTAATGGTATCAATAATAATATGAAACATATTAGGTTACGGAACAAGTCCTTATGGTCAGATGGCACAGCATACGGTGTTAATTTGATTGTAATTTCATGCAACTGATAAATAAAATATTTATTTAAAAGTAGTTTTGTATGCTAAAAGGAAATATTTACCTCATGGCAGATACAAATAAATATGAATGAAACTATCAAGCCATTAAGTACTGGATAACCTGGCAATAATACTAGAACTCCATGAGTATCAGCTGCTAACCATATATGACATTGACAAACCATTAATTCTAGAGAAATTCTGCCAAACCAAGCAAATAAGCTGGAGAAACGTGTTCTTAATACTCCAGAAATATTTCTTAAAATAATATAACCAACTATCTGTACACAAAACAAAACATTTTAATTCATAGACATTTCAAAATGTAGAATTGTATTACTTACAGGAATAACTGATATATAAGATAATAATTCATAGCATTCAGTTTTATTTTGACACAGAATATTATAAACAGTTGAGGCAATAAGTCCAATAAATGCCAGGAACGAAGAGAATACAGCTAACCGAGGCGATATTAAATTACTGTGATTATTATCATCTATTAAATTATATCGTTGAGCTAGGATGATAGCAAAACTAAATATTACGCCATAAACAACACTAAAAAATAAATTAAAAAATAAATACTTATACATACATTGTCAATTAGGTACTTAGGTAAATTTGTAATATTTTATACATGTAATACCTAAAACGATTTAGTTTCCATCGATACCACCATTCATGTATATCGTCATCTGTGGTAACAAATAAAGCTTTCCATGGACGTGTAAGAAAAATTTTATCAAAAAATACCTATAATTTAAATGCATAGTAGTCAAACATATTTTATTTAGTATACAAATGTATTCAATAAATATACCTCAGACATATAAAGTATGGTAATGAAAATAAATAGTGCTAATATTTTTAAAATTATGTATAAATATTGTGCTGGTCTTATTTCAGAAGACGAAGCAGTGACACGAGGTGGACAAATTAATAGTAAATATAGAACAGTAAACCAAAATGATACTAATGGTATGTAAAAATAAAATTGGTACGGTCTGTTCATACACATACATAACACAACAGTCAACATGTTCAGTCTGAATAATATCTGTAAAAATAATATATTTAATATATATTAGCATATGGAATTATTCACATTTAATTAACAAGTAAAATAGATATTGAGACAAGTATAATAAAAATTGAAATATCACAATCACTTTTTGTAACCTTTATGTAAAAAACACAAAATTCAAATTAATATAACTTAAAATTTAACAGAAAATACTTTTATATACTATGGTATCTATGAGTGAATTTATAAATCTGAATTTTTTTCAATGAAGGGATTTGAGTTCTAATAATAATTAGTAGTTATTAACTTCTATACATATTTTTTATTTATATATACATATATATCTATTATAATATATTTTTGAGAATGGGAGAGATATTTCATCCTTGCGGGTCATCTGTTCCTCTATTAAGCATCGTTTATTTTAAATCAAGAATGTGAACATAATATAAATGTTATTACAATGCAAATTCTGAAGCTACTGTTTTTCTCATCATCTGGTTTTCGGCCCACTATTTTTCTTCTCTTACTAAGTTGGCTACCTTAAATGATGTTTCTCTTCTTCTTCCTTAGTACCTAGCACTTAAATTGGCAGCGCTTACTGCAACACATCAAATTACCCATTCTGGCACTAGTTCACCTTCCAATTTGCGTTTAGTATTTTTTTTCTTTCACCATCAGTCACATCGGAATAGTTAATGTTCAACATCATCTATTGGAGCATTGCAGTCATAGCAGCTACGACTATTTGATCTCTTAAACCTAAAGAGGTAATCAGGAAAACAAACATATCCGGTTAACATTTATGATTGATGAAATTTAATACATCCAAATGTTCTTGTTATCCATGCTTTAATATTCTTAATAAGTCTCCAGATTTAGCAGTTGGTTGTTCTATCGTTCCATCCCTTTTACCATTTGTTTATCAATACATTTTTGGCTTATTTTCTAATTGATACTATGTTTCTAATTTTCCTATTGAGGTAGATTTGGCTGCATTCTTATGCTAGCACGTGAATTAGTAGGATATTAACTACAGGAATCACTAGTGTTAAGAACTGTTCTATAGACGGACGCGATCCTAAGAGCCATCCCTCCCATTATGTTCAGCATTATATTAGTTTTATTTCTTGAAAATAGCGTCTCGGACCGCATTGTGTGGCATATAATAATTTACTATGCACTATTGTCATAAGCAGCTGTCTTATACCGCCTACATTAGACAAGTCTAAACAGAGATGTTACCGAGACGATTGCATTGACAGCTGTTGTGATTAAATGTTAAATATTAAATTAAATGTATCATAAATTCTAACTTTTATTTAATGGAATTTCTAAATATTTAATTTGAATTTTTATCTCTAGATTTGTATGCTCTAGGTCAGTGGTTCCCAAACTGTGCACCAAGATACCCTAGGGATACCGCAAGCACTTTCTAAGGGTACCACGGTCTACGCTTCATAACAAATAGTTTAAAATGTAAAGAATTTATTTCCCTTATTGTTTTTGTAAACTTTATATCAAATAATGTAATATTTTCTATTGTATATTCGGACAGTCTCATTTGAACCTTATAATATTATAATAAGTAATAGTTATAATAATAAAAAAAATAATTTTTATTTATTTATTTTTTAAGTTTAAAAATGCCTTCATTTTTTATAATTAAGTTAAATTTTAATAAAATTGGTTAACAAAATATTTTTTTTTTTGTTCTATCTTTCATGTTATTCACAGCAGGGCACCGTGGAAAAGAAAGTTAGGGAACCATTGTTTTAGGTAGTCTTAGCATTACTGTCTCAGTTTTTATCACTAATAGCTTTAGACCACAGTTCTTCATCTTCACAGCCACTACTTCCAAGAAGTTATTCACAACTTTTTACCAGTTATACCGTGATTTTGCCTGTTGCTATGACAACAAAATATTTGATGAACGCTTGAGGCTCTTGTATTGTCTCATGGCAGTTCTGATCTCAGAAGATCATCATACATTAGGTTCTACAGCAAAAGGCCCAAGATCGATTTCCATGAAATTTTGCTCCTAACATTATGCGACTCACTGTCCTCATAAATGAGTTCTTCCAGTGAGGTAACTTCTTATGACTCAGATATTTTGACATTTGTTTATCAGTTAATGCCTGCTAAAAAGTAAGTCATGAAGCCGAGTTAAAGTTGTTGGCAATATAGTGAAATAATGGAACAAAGGTTTCTAGTGGAGTGGCTTCATTGCTGCTGTTACAACATACATTACGTTGCATCTTTCATCTTCACTTATGAACCACCCTTTTGTTCAGCGATCTTATTTAGCTCACTAAATATTAGTATATCTATTTTATTTTCAAAAACCATTTGCATTATTAGATTCTGTACTATCATAATACTATGTAAATTTAATGTAGGAACTTGACTGTTATATATTAGTTTTGGATTTTTAGAATCAATTCTGATTACTATGTAATGATTTATTTATTTATTTATTCATGTATAACCATAAACTCCTGTAATCTCTTTATCAAGTGGCCACTAATTGCATGACCTACAAACTATTGCAGAGAATAATATTCTAAATAATATGAATTTTATTAACTATTGAGAATCTTCCATTATACTTTGTATAAAAATAATTATTATAATTTTTTCTAAAACTCGAAGCCACCAGAAAGAGACGAAATTAATAGAATCTAACAGATACAATAAGAAAAAGAAAAATGATTTATAACCTATAATAAAGCTTGTTAAATAACTAGCAGTAACTCACAGGTTATGAGTCATAACTATTTGATCAATGGACAATTTAGTGCTTTTTAGTTACCTACCTTTTTATATATATTTTAGTTAGATTCCAATAAATATTTTGTTATTGTAATACCTTACTTGTTCATCGAATCAAGCTATTAATTATATGAGTTACTACAACAAGCAAAAACAATATTATTTATTGATTATTTGATATATTAATACATAGTACATATCCAAGAGTAATTGATTTTTAACAATTAAAAACTTTTAATACTTATACCAATCTAATTATGTGAGTTTTAATAAGTTTTCTTGTTTGTAATTGTAGAATATATGAAACTGATGACTGAAATTCAACTGATATCACAGAACAAAAAAAGATTTTCTTTTATTTAACTAATCTCAATAAATATTACAATAGCATATTGTTTCATATTACCCAATAGATATGTTAAATTTGAATTTTGGATTGACCATTATAAGACGTTTGTTTATTATAAATATACTAGTAATAAATTAACATAAGTCAATTGACCGGTTTTAACTCTCAATCTATATATATATATATATTCAAATTAATTAAAATAACATAAATTAGAACTGAGCAAAGAAACAATATACTAAATAAGTAAAACTATTTATAAAGAACAAAACAATTGATCTTATTATTAACCTGGCCATCTAGCTTAATCAACATTAATTATTATTTCATTATCATTCATAGTACCAATACTCTATATATAACATGAATAGTAAGCATTAAAAAAGATTAACAAAATAGTTATATAACTATAATAATATAAATTTAATAATGTAACAAATGTAGCTAGTTTAAGTTTCTTTTTAAACTTAGGAAATGTATTTAAAAAAATATTTAAATTACATTTAAAAATTAAAATTAAAATAAAACATACCACAATTATAGGTTTGCAATAAATAAAATATAAAAAAAATCATCTTCTGATTTTCGATTTATTATGTAGTAAAAAACTATCATCACCAAAAATCTTTCTTTGCTATACCAAGTATAAATATTAAAACATTTATTTTAATCTAAATTTAAAATAAAACTGATATTAAAAAATCGTAATTAAATGTGTTTATGTAAGTTTTTACTAATTTTAAAAGTATTTAACAAGTTTGGAAGGAAATAATTGCAAGGAAATTTTAAGGACTATAATAATAAAAAAATTAAATAGCCACTTTAAACACTTAACTTAAGTAATTCTTTACATTTTGTCTATTAACAGTATGTATATATATTTCATACCACTCACCTTTATCAGTTCTCCGTCCAGTAGTTAAAAATGCACACAAGACAAGAGAATGATAAAGGAGAGTAATATATAAACTTGTTATGACATTTTTAAATTGATAAATCATGAAGAAGTTACCTGAAAGTAACGAGTAAGTCCTGAATCACTTCTATGCCACAAATAATAAAAATGACCATAGCCAGTAAGGAACAAGTATGCAGCTATCAATATTTGAACATGATTTGCAATTGAAACTTTTAAACTTGCTCCAGTTAAATTATATATTAAAATTATTAATTGCATCCATCCTTAAAAAAAAAGAAAATTTTACTTTTTAAAATATATTTCAATTAAAAATGCATATTTATTATATACAAAATCATGTTCCTATTATCATAAAATATTTAACATTTTATTCTTAATTTTGTAAATTATTTAATCTGTATAACATATTAAAATACAATAAGCATAATTGATAGTGATCATTTTTTTCTTTAATATAGCTTGATGTTGTAACTATCCAGTGATGACACATGGACTTGGGTTAAGGTTTTGGTGATATTTTTAAGTAGATTAAGTCCAAGGGACTATTGTAATCGGAGTCTACTAGGAGAGTTTCCTAAATATAAATATCTAAAAGATTATGAACATGGGGATTGCTGTAGTGATTATGGACTTTTAGAGCAAATTTTTAAATTGGGTATAATGTATTTTAGGTATTCTAATTATTTTAGGGACAAGATGTGTATGGTTTGAGTTGATTTAGTATATAATTTTTGAAGTATTTGGATTCTTTGAGTATAACTTTTAAGCAGATCACCATAGATGTATGCCATACATTCAAATGAGTTTTGAGTTAAATTAAACTTAAACTATAATTAACATGTTGACTAATAATGACTGCTAACAGTAGTATACAAACATGGTTTAAACACTTGTCAAGTGTGTTTTTCAATGTTATTCTTAATTCAAAAAGTATATATTATAAACAAATTAATATATCTTTGGCTATATTTTTGTAAAAAATTATTTGTTTAAAATGCTGTCAAAAGAATTTTTATGATTTCCTCTATTCCATGATAATCTATGAAGAATGTTACTGTAAAGCCAATGAAAAGGTTTTTTTCTTCTCCTTTGCCTTTCTCCCAACTATTTGGGGCCAGCCACCCATGTCCTGAATTTCCACTTGTGTACAGCGCACATTTGTGTGTAGCGTAATATAACCATTATATATTTCATTCACTTATTTGTATTACTAAAATACATATTAGTTATTAAATAATTAGTTAAAAATACCTTTCCATTCATCAGTTTGATCTCGGTGAAGTACTTTTGTATATCTACTTTCTTCAGTAAAAAATAAACCAAGCACAAATACATAACCTACAGGTAACCAAAAACTTGCATCAGAGTAATATTTGTTTTCTTTCATGAAAAAATTAGTTCTGAAAATCCAGAAACATATCAAACATAATGCATTAAAAAAAAAAATAATAATAAAAAAAGTACCTGTCACATATATAAAAATAAATCATAATAAGACCTAATTTTGCAAGAGAAACCATTACCACATAAGATGGTTCATTTTTAGACAGTCTATTCTGTTGATATCTTACAGCCATTAAAATTCCAATTAAAATACTGAAAGAAAAAAATTCAAGTTCATTGAAAAATATAAATTGATGGATACATAAATTTAACTGACTTACCAAATGATAAAAAATAATAACATATAACTTTGTAATGAAGTATAAGGTTCAGTGCTAGAACAACAAGTGCCATCATTGAAATTCATATGATCATTACAATATAAATTTAGAAGTATTTGAGCTCTTAATCTTAAAGATGCATTACTAGAATGAAGACCATCAGGGCTATCATTCATTTCACCCTGAGAAACAAGTCTTGAACTCCACCACATTTCAGCTGAACTTTTACTTAAAACCTTAACAGTAACAAGTCAACTTAATTTTCAAAAATTTAAGTTTTTAAAAAATATTTGTATTAAATATATATACTACAATTTTTAAAAGTAATTTTATAAACATACATCCATTGCAGCTTCATTATAAAGATCAATCAAATTATTAGTCACCATAGACAATGAATTATCTAGTTTACTTTCTTCAACTGGTTCTTGCAACACCCATAATACAGTTGATTTAGATGAGATATCATTGATTGGCTAAAAATTATAAATAATTACCAATTTTTATAAATCATACATAATCAAAAATTACCTGTATCAGTTGGGTAAGATTAGCAATATAATCTTGAATACCATTTAAAGAACCATTGGATTGTATGATGGGCCAAATTGCACTTCCTGCTACAATTACTTGAGGTTTATCATTCACATCCTATAGCATATATCACTGTAAATTGTATTTTTATTTAGGCCAAATATTATGTAAAAATATTTTAATTTTATGAATGTTCAATTTACTTGCTTTCAGTTTTTTAAACACTTGAACCATTGAATCTAAAACAAATGGACTCCAAACAAAATTAACATATAATTTGAGACGACTATCAGGAAATGATTGATTGGAGTCATGGAAATCTGAAAATTTGGAATTTTGAACCAACTGTGCTTTTGGTTCTATAGTATGTATAAATGCATTATATATATCTTGTATTCTAGAGTCACCAATAAAAAGAAACTGATTATAACGTCCTCTAAATGCTAAATATTTTAAGCAACGGCTACAATCCCTAAAATAAAAATAGTATTTTTGTTAAGAGAAAAATAATTATTTACTGTCTTATGAATATATATATGTTACATATTTATTATTATATATAATATTATTATTAAAAATTAATAATAATTTTTAATAGTTCTGCTTTCCTTGAAATTTATTTATTTAATTATAATAAATTTTAATGGACCATGATCAATAGAATACATAATAATAATTGTATAGTTTACAATAATTACTAACTATTAGTAACACATCTTATAAACATTTTATTCAATGAAAAGTTATGATAATTGGTTAAATTGTGGCATTAGTCTATACTGATTTTTACAGACTGTATAGTCAGCAACCTTTTTTTTTTTTAAATATGGTTTGTACCATTATAAACATTAGTTGAAGATAAATAAAAAACGCCATCTATTTTATATAAAATTAATTGGCATCATATTATACTAAATCTTGAAGTATTAGACTACATTGAATGTGTTAAAAAATTCTCATAAATTGAAGATTTAAATTTTTAGTTATCAAATTTCTGCTAGTATGTAAAAAACAAACATTACATGACTAATTAATATCTACAAGATCATAGGGTTTTAATTCAAAATAAATAGATAATTTTTTTATTTTAAATTCATGTATGATTTTAATCTTAAGTAGCTAAAAATAATTTATTCAATATAATAAACTTTAATCACCATACAAGATATGAAAATTATATACTTGGACAAATTTTATAATCTGAATGAAATTTTTAATTTAAATAGTTTGTCACTTTAAATTCAAAAGAAAATAATTTTTAATGAACTGTAAATCTATTTACGATTTAGATCAAGAAAAAAATTGTATACCTGGGAGACCAACATAGACGCAACTAGGATAAAACATCCGGGGGGCTACAGCCTACCTACCAAAACTTAAAATAACTTGTAGATTACCTCTAATCTTATAAACTATGTTAATATATTTTAGATTCTGAGCTAAGTTGGATTTACTGCAATGTGTCTTTTTTTTGTATGTGACACTATTGTGAGTTAAATATGCTGTATGCGGTATGCCATATATAACATGTAATATTTATGGGGGAGGGGCTAAGTCCCCTAACCCCTCCCCCAGTTACGCCTATTGAGACCAGAACACTATAACTGTATTAACGAGATTATGATTACCAGTAAAAGGAAGTAGTCTTAATTAATTTTAAATTAAATTAAGCATAATAAACTAATAAATATATAATTACAAGAAGGACTTGGAACTTAATACACTTAAAAAGTACTAAATATGCATGAACTTATGCACTTAAAAAAGAACAAATATGCTTTAAAAATATAAACTTATATTTATTTTTTTAATGCAACAATGTTCATAAATAAAGATATTTTTACTAACTATATACTCGTATAAAACAACAATACAAATGTTTACTAAGCTAAACATAATTTTTAGGTTTAAATATATGAGATAAAATAAAATAAATAAATAACTTGAAATTTTCTTTCAAAATGTCCCATTAAATTATATATCTATAAAGCGGTGGTTCTCAAACTTTTAAGTTCACATACATATTTATGGAGCTCCAAAAATTAGGAATTTATATTCGATACAAATTTTATTTTAAATATTTCATATTGAGAAAAATACACAGTTTAAAAATCAATTTTTTTTTAGAAGTTTGGATTTTGTAACTTGCTGTAAAATTTATGCTAATATTACGTTGCATTGATAAATTTACTTCATTAAATTTTGTGAAAATATCATCCAAGTAACGAATTTAGAATAACCAAATATTATCTGAAGTCTTATTTTAAAATGAAATGGGTATCCCTAAAACGTATAACTCGTTGCATAATTCAGGTGATCATACCAGTGTTTTTCTTCAATAACTAAAATACATAATAATATTTAAATTTAATGAATTAAGATATGTCAGCAGAGCCCTATGGATCCGCGGAGCACAGTTTGAGAGCCGCTGCTATAAAGCATAAATAAAAAGAAAAAAACTCTTAGAACCCAATTTTTAGTGAGAAATAGATTGACATTTTATTTGCAAAACTATTGCATTGAACCGCTAAACATTTTCTAATATTTTTAAAAGTTGTAAGATTGCTGATTATTTGATTAATCGCCATATGAAATAAAAAAAAAACCAATTAATGCAATCAATGATAATCATTAAATTTATGTGAGTAAATATAAATAAAGCTGAACTTTTTGTATCAACTTGGGATTTGAAAATCATGATAGGTCTAATGCTTTATATCAATATCTAATGAAAACTTTCAAAATAAATATAATTTTATTATTGCAACATTTTTAAATTGTATTATCAATTTATCTATAATCATCAAAAATATGCTCTAAAAAATTGCAAAATTAAGAAATATGCACTTATATTTATTAAATCACTAAATATGCAAAAATATGCACTGTAAACTTTAAATAAGTTTTTCGTTATGTCATGAAAATAATTTCAAGCTTACTCAGCAATAAATTGAATAAACCAATAAAAACATGCAAATGCTTTCAAACATTTTTCAGGCCCTGATTATAATTATATAATTAAGATATGTAGATTAATTATCTAATTTTAAAGGAAATTCTTTCTCTTTCTACTCAACTGATTTTAAGCCACTGTTTAAACTTCATAAGTAATCCATTGTCATGATTAATGTATAATTGTATATTTAAGTTAACAATTTTGCTACAAATGATAACAAGGACTGCAATTTTAACTGCTATATATATATTACTTGGCTAATATAACTCTACAAGGTTATCTTAATACTCAACATTCTTGTCTACCTCACGACTATTCAACGATTCTGGTCATGTTAGATCTTACAAGTCTTGCTGTTAGAGATATTTGGCAAACCAATTTTTCCTATCCAAAATCTTATCCAATTAAATAGATTTTCTCTCCTTATAAAAATTTATTTCCATAATCCTTTCTACCATACCAGTCCTTTTTCAAACTCTTTATTTTCTACTAAATAAATCACCTGTTATATCTATTTTATATTCTTAGCAAACATCCTTATTTCATGTATAGTTCATTTTATTTATTTTAATGTGCATTTTATATTACCATTATGCTACTCTTTTTAATTGGACTCTAATCATACGTATAATAATAATCAAATTAATTAATAAATGAATATGAACAAATTAATTAAAATACAAACTTACAATTCACTATATTCATGCATCATACAACCATATGGTTGCCAGCCCATGTCACCTTTATATCGTCCATCGGATAGAAGCCATTTACAAGAATCTCTTGCTATAATAATAAATAATTGAATAAATAAATAAAATGGAAATTCAAAATTACACTCAAAATATTTCTACTTACCATAGAATAAATGAATACAAGAATGAATAACAATAAACCAGAAAACAAAACATAACGCTATTTTCTTAGCATTTTTAGAGTTGAATTTTTTGTTAATATCATCGTGCCTTTGAACGGATTCATTGCATAAGAGAGGGGCATCATCAGAGATTTGATCATCGGCCATTTTTCACACAATAGATAACATAACCATAGCTAAAATCAGTATTTTACAGATTTACACAAATTACCAACACTAATGTTTAAACAAATAAATTAAATAATTCTAGATTATTTTTCAAACATTATTGACACGGTAAAATATTTACAAAACACAGTGAGCAAACCAAAAAGATAAGTGAAAATTACCTAAATGTTCATATGCATAAAATAAAGTGCACACAATATTACACTATAATTTACATTAACACATTTTTTTTCAGGAGGATGAAATCATTGGGGCTGAATCAGTGTAGCCATAGTCCAGCAACTTTTAGTATTGTAACTTGTTTATAACTATTTTTGTTAAAACCAATAATTTATTTAATTATTAATTAAAATACATCAATTAAAACATCTCACATTTATTATTAAGAACTGTATTTAAAATTATTTCCAAACTTTTTAAAAACAAATTTTAATGTTATACATTTATTATTATTACTATAAAGAATAAATACTTATTAATGATACCTTCAGACAAATTCAACTATTTGACTAATTTTAAAAACGGCTATAGAAAATTAAGCAACTTAGAACATAAATGAAAATTATTAAAAACTAATTAACACATTTAATTTTTTTTTTATTATTATTACGGAGTAGAATTGATTATAATTATTATGGTTGCCATACGTCCCGGAATACCGGGATAATCACCGGTTTTGGATTTCGTGTGCCAATGTCCCGAAAAATGTTTTCGGGACGCAGTGACGTCATTTGAGGACGCAGGTTGGGGTCTACTTAGTGGCGGCTCGTGTCTAGTGCGATGGTGCGATCGCACCCCCAACTGAAATTACAAAATATTTGATTTTATTTTTAATATTTTTATAAGAATTATTATTATTTTCATTATTTTATATATATCACAAATAATAAATATATATGTGTATATTACAGTGCGGCTGTCGATATTATGTGATGTGTGCTACGTTGCACATATAAAAACCAGTTTTTATAGAAGATAAAACATCATATTATCGGCGGTGGCGGTCGTATAAGCTATGATGTGCAATGATTTCTGTCGTACAATTCGGGCGGCGGAACGCGACCCGTTGCTATCACTACAATAGGTCGTGTGTATGTGCTTTACCATGAATCACACATTATAAACACAGTATTTAGACCATACCTATATATAATTGTATTTTATCGGCATTGACAGTGGCCATAAAACTATGATGTGCGACGATTTCTGTCGAACAATTCGGACGGCGTGGCTGTGTCAGTCAGTATTAGTGTTGCCAGCTGTACGGTCCCGGTTGGGGCAGTACGGTAATTTGGTCATTAGTACGGACCATGGACGGACCTGTCAAAAACACGGAAAAATATGGTAATTCTATTTACCGACATAAAGACATTCTGAATTCTTGAATTATTTTTAGGTATTGCACTTTAAGTTTTAGGTTTATACCATATCAATTATTGGTAAATAATAATAATTTACCCTATAATACTAAATATAACTAATAGTAGTAGAATTTGGAAATTATACATCTTAATATTTAAATGTTTTATTTTTAATTTTTTGTTGACTATGATATATTCTTTTATACTTATTAAAAAGTTGTAATTACACTCATTTTTGATATTTGATTTACCTTTTGATCTATTCTAATCACACATGCCACCCCATTCTCTTTTATTTCTTATCACATCGAGCAACAGTGTTAGGACCACAGCTATAGGTACTAGTATCAATAGACCGAATAGAATAATAGTGTATCTGAATAGTAAGTATGGACTATTATAGCCATGATCATAAATAAAGATACACCTTAGATATATTTTGAATCGTGGCCGTGATATTAAGTATTAGAATATTACATGGAATACGAACTGACATAATATTTTGATTTTGATGTTAAACTCGAACTGATAATAAATATTACGTGAATATTATCACTTAACTACGAATTTAACACGATTAAATTTATTTACTTACGATTTTGTACAGTAATTTAATAAAATATATATGGACGATGGCCTTTTGGCTTTTGGCAACACTGATCAGTAGTAGTGTAGTGGTTGTTACAAGTATATAAAATTAAATACGGTGAATATTTTTATTTTAATTATTTTATATACGGTTTGGTATTCTGGAATTATGAGTAGTATTTTAATATAGTAAATAATATTTGTTATTTATATTTTATAATAATATATATCATATTTTTATTTATTATTCATATTATAAATTCGATTCAAGAAAATTTAAAACTAAAATTTTCATCTTTAACTTAAAAAAAAGTGTAAATTAAAAATTTGGGTAAAACTCTACCAAATTTATCTAACTTGATTAATATTACTTAAAAAGGACAAAAATAATATACTCGTCATTTCAATATTGAGCTTTATCAAAAGTTTAAATGGCTCTGTGTGTGTGAAACTACAGTATCTTAATTTTGTTTTCCTTGTGTACGTTTTGGAGGTGATTTATCTTGGAGTAAAACTGGTGTAAAAGATTTAATACACCTTTTAGTCAAATTAAATAAACATTAAAATTCGTTTAAACATCTACAAAATGAGGCAAACTTCAAAGTATTGGGAACTATGGACATCAGAAGTCAAATCAACAGTGGTTATAAATTAGGGATTAACCGTCATAATGAGTTAGTTTCTAAAAATCGAAATATTTTAGAAAAAATTTTAAATTGTGTAAAATTTTATGGAAATTGCGAATTACCATTATGTGGCTACGATGAAAAAATTTCATCAAAAAACCAAGGCGTTTTTCATGGTTTGATTAACTTTTGTTCAGATTTAGATCCAAGTTTACAGGAACATTTTCAGAAATCTACTGTTTTCAAAGGTATTTTAAAATCATTAAAAGTGAATTACTGTATTGTATTTTTAATGTTACAAGAGATTATATATTAAATGAAATTAATAAGTCGGAGTTTGTATCTATTATTATGGACGAAACAACTGACATATTTAAAAATTTCAATTAGCATTAATATTTTGTTATGAAATTAAAGGAATTCCTGTGGAACGTTTTTGGGGATTTTTTAATCCTACAGGACACGATGCAGACTCCTTAACCTGAACTATTCTAAATGAAATCGATCCTATAATAGAAAAAAATCCTCAAAAATTCATTGCACAAGCATATGACGGAGCTGCAGTTATGAGTGGTCGTCAATCTGAAGTTAACGTACGAATAAAAGAAAAATATCCGTATGCTTATTTATTCATTGTAACGCTCATCAACTGAATTTAATTATGGCTCAAGCAACTTCCCAAAACAAACAAGTAAAAGTATTTTTTTCAAATTTGTCCCAAATTCCAACATTTTTTTTTGAATTCTCCACAGAGATTAGCTATACTAGATGAAATAGTAAGCGCTCGTTTACCAAAAACAGTTCAAACACGTTGGAATTTTAATATTAGAATAGTAAATATGGTTTATGAACATTGAGATACGTTGATTGATTAAATGGAGAAAATTATTGATGCATCCTCGCAATCTAGTTCTATTAATCAAGCAACAGGACTTAAACTACTTCTAAAGGATTCGAATCTTATTTTTTGGCTTAATTGTTTTCATAAAATTATGCCCCAGGTTGATTGTTTGTACAATGCTGTTCAAGCAAGGAACACTGATCCAGTACAAGTTCAAGATTCTGTTAGAAAATTTAATATAGAAATTCAAAAAAATTGCGACAATTTGACAACTCTTACAGAAATACCGAATATTGAAAGTTCTTCCAAAAGAAAACAAATAGAATATTCTATGAACAATAAAAAATTGGCTGCTTTAGAAGTATGTGACATAATATCTATTCAAGCTCAGAGATGTTTTGATTTTACTAAACATTTAACAGCAGCTCAACTTTTCCAAAATAAAAAATATGTGATATATAGGGTTCGGATTTGAAGGCAATATAATCAATAAAAAAAAGGATTTAAAATGTAAAAAAAGGCAAAAAAAAGGCATTTAATTTATATAAAAAAGCAATTCATAAATATACTACAAAATAAAATAGTGAACATTTTTTAAACACTTTCAAATGCACACATTTTGAGAAAAATACAAATTAAAAATGAGCATGAATACTAAACTACATTAAGTTTATGCTATTTTGTATAAATAGATTAGGTACCTTTTTCTTTGACCAGGTTTGTTCTAAGAATTAGTTAAAAACAATTTTAAATATTAACTTATTTGAGTTATACCAATTAATTTAATGCAAAATAAACTAATTGGTATTAAAAAAAAAAAAATCGACTACCATGTATTTTGATAAGCTGTCTTCAGAAAAACGGCTACGGTTAGGAGTTTTTTTTTTTTTATTTTTATTTAAGTAATTTACAATCTATATAACATTATATACAATGGGTAAATTTGATAGTTAATGTAATGTAAAATAACAGAATTTAACATTTAAGGGCAGGCACTCAGCAGCACCACCCGACCGAGAACATTTTGATGTCGTGGTTTTTTTTTTTTTTTTTTTATTTTAGTAGGTCTCTAGGCCACTGTCTTTTGAGTCTTCTACGTACATTGCCAAGAAGTGAGGTGGAAGAAAGTTGCTTTATTAATGGATTACTGTGAGAGTTTAAGTTGGAGTGAAATTTAAAGTAATGTGCTTTTGCTAATTGATTAAGTGTAGGAATTTTTAGGTCTTTGTGAAGATTATTGTTTGTGAAATACCAAGGGGAGGATGTTATTAATCGTAGGCAGATAGATTGAAAAGCTTGAAGCGTGTTGGTGTTAGAGGGCTTTGCAGAGCCCCATAACTGTATACCATATGTCCAAGGTGGTCGAATTATTGATTTGTATATAGTAAGTTTATTGGAAAGGGAAAGTTTGGATTTTAAGAGTGGTCTAAGGATATGAAGTCTAGAGTTAACAGTTTTGCGTTTAAATTTGATGTGTGGGCTCCAGGTTAAGCGTTTGTCGAGAGTTAGCCCAAGGTATTTTACTTCGTTTGCCTTAGGAATTGTTATATTGTTTAACGTGACAGGTGGAGAATCGAGATTACGTAGTGAAAAAGTTACTTGAACAGATTTAGTTTCGTTTATTTTGATTTTCCATCTGTTTGCCCACAAGCTGGTCATATTTAAATGGTTTTGGATCATTTCACTGGCTGTGACGTGGCTTTCGTGGGAGGCGGTTATTAGCGTGTCATCAGCGTATGTGCCAAAAGATGTATAAAATGTATTGGGTATGTCATGAGTGAAAATCGAGTAAAGGAATGGAGCGATGTCGCTTCCTTGTGGGACTCCAGCTCTAATAGTATAACGGATTGAGTAGGTGTTGTTTAAGCGAACAGTAAAGAAACGATTTGACAGATATGATTTTATCAAGAGGAAAAGAGGGGCGGGTAAGAACTTTTTAAGTTTGTACATTAGTCCATCGTGCCAAACCCGATCAAAGGCTTGGGAGATGTCAAGAAATACTGCTGTACAGAACTGTTTTTTTTCCAGGGAGCTGGATATGATATCAACTGTTCTGTGTAATTGGTGCAATGTAGAATGTTTTGATCTGAATCCGAATTGTGTGTGTGGAATTATGTTTTTTGAAGAGGCAAAATGAATGAGTCTTTTTAAAAGAATTTCCTCAACAATTTTTGAAAAGGTTGGAAGAAGACTTATGGGTCTGTAAGAGGCAGGATCTTGTGGTGGTTTATTGGGCTTAGGTATTAGAATAACAACCGAGTATTTCCAAGTGTTTGGAAAGTACGATAGTCGGAAAATGGCGTTGAATATGTGTGATAAAAAAATAATAATATTTTTGGGAAGGTTCTTTGTAATAACATTACTAATTAGATCATGGCCTGGTGATTTTTTAATAGGGAGTTGCTTGATAATGTTTTCAATTTCACCCGGAGAGGTATTTTTAGCGGGAAGTGACATGGGTAGGGATGAATTGAGAGAACTATCCACTATTTCTAGTTGTGATGCACTAGGCTGAATATCATGAGGAGTAAAGCATTTCGATAGGTGCTCAGCGAATATGTTAACTTTTTCGAGGTCAGTGATAGCCCAAGAGTGATCTGCTTTACGAAGAGGGGAGAAGGTTGTTTTAACCGTGGTAGGGATTTAGTTGCCTTCCATAAGGAGCAGTTGGTTGTTGTGAGAGCTTCAACATATGAATTGTAAGAGTCATTTGTATGCTTCCTAATTAACTTTTTAAGTTTGTTACTTAATTGATTAAGTTTAATCTTGTCATTGGGGTATTTTGATTTTTGCCACTTGGCTCTAGCCATGCGTTTCTCTGCTAGTAAGATTTGGATGTGATGCGGTGTTTTATTATGCGAGGATTTGTTAGTTTTCGTAATGGAGGCGCTCAAAGCAGCGGACTGTATTGATAACGTCAAAAAATCCAACGCATCATTTACTTCGTCTGTTGTTTTTAAGGAAATGTTTAGTTTTATGTTATCATTTAAAGTTTTTTTAAAGATTGACCAATCCATTCGACCAGGAGTAAGTGTTTCTCTTTTTGGTATACTTGGGCTTAACCCAATTTCGAGTAGGGTTGGTCGGTTAGGAGTTAAAATATTTTTGTACATCGAAAACGATCTTTCTACGTCCACCGAAGTTATCGGGGCGTATTTCATACTTAAATAATTATCTAAATTAAGATTGCTACTTGATAGATCGTCATCATTTGTGGTTTCTCCAATCAATACTTGGTTGATCTTTTTAATATTTTCCCATCCTTTGTTCTTCGATATAACTTTGTTGAATTTATCCAAAATCAATTTAGCTATTTTGCCATTGCATTCTTCGTGTTTAATCTGTATATTATTTACAACATCTACACTTTTCGATAGTAATACACCTAAAACATACACAGTATATTTTAATATATAAAACGTGCAAAACACATAAAAATAATATTTGTTACCTCTTGTTTCTAGTTTTGTAATTGTG